GTTTTATGGCCGAGTGCTTGCTCTCGCTGCTGACGCTCCTGCCGCTCACGCTGCCGCTGGCGACACCGGAAGAGGCGCGGTCCCACGACGAGGCTCGCAGCCTCGTGGCTCGCTTTCATTCCTATGGCGGTGGCGACTTCGAGTACCCCGACAATGCCAACATTCCGCTCGAGGGGCTCGGCCACGAAGAGTCGCTCCACGTCCGCGCAAGCAGCCATGCCACAGGCAACGTGACGCACAGCCTGATCACAGACCGCTTTCACAACAACGGCCATCTGACTGTGCGGGGGAAGATGGTGATTCGTGACGGCGCGCACTTTGTCAACGATGGCACACTCAATGTAGAAGGTGTTGGGGAGCATCGGCCGTCGGCTCTCGTGGCAGAGAGAGAGGGACAAGGAATGGCAGGGTAATCGGATCGAATGGAGCACCAATGACGTCCTTGTGCGTAGACATCTGCCGTGCGTGACAACCTGCGGCAGAACTTGTCCTCATCTACCGACTGGTGCGCCTTCCTCATCAGACGCAGACTGCTCTGCGTCCCCACGGGATCTTTATCGCCGTAGAGAGTCAGCGCCGGCCTTTGACCAAGATCCAACGAGGAGTGCGACACGGGTCACGGCTAGTTGCGTGTGCAATGAGCGGATATATGGTTCGAAGCGACGCGCAGCTACAGACAGTACTCGGAAACTCGCAGTAGTGAGTACCTCCTCTGTAGACCTCCTAAAGTCGTACCTCGAAGGGCGTGCAGGGTCTGGCTGCCCTTCCCCTGAGCGCCGTATACGTCGACGTGAGAATCATGCGCCCTCCTTTGTGCAATTGTGGGGTGTACGCTTCTATGAAAAGAGAAAAGAGGCACACAAATCCCTCAACCGGCAGCCAGGTCGCGAGCAGAGCCAGGCGAGCTACCAAAGAGCTGCGTTGCGCTTGTCCTTGCGCCGTAGAGCCGCGACGAAGGGAGCCTGGCTGGCTGTGAGACTGGCAGCGACGCCGAGCGAGCCACCGGTGCGCGCCGCGGTGCCGGTGATGGCATACACGAGTCGCTCAGGAGGCGGTAGCTCTGGTAGCCGCGAAGCAGCCAGCTAGGCGCTGCGGCGCCGCGAAGGTGTTCCTCGAGGTGCCTCCTATTCGCAGCAATGCTGAATACTCGGAGGCGCGCCCGAGCCCCTCCTCCCTCTCTCTCCGGGGGGCGCGCTCCTCGTGACACGGAGCTGCTCGATCGCCTCGCGGATCGCCGCCAGCTCCTACCAGAGAAGGCTGCAACATCAGGACACATCCTCGGTGCTCGCGTGGCTCCGAACGACCCGCCACGCTCCCCCATCGGGTCGAGGCCGTCGCTGGCGCTGCGGCTGGCCGGCGCCGGTGCCGGAGGCGGCGGTTCAACAGGCGAGAGCGAGCGCATGTCCTGCGAGGCGGGGCGAGGAGGTGTCTTTGGCCGTGGAGCGTCTAAACCGGAGTCTCTCAGAAGTGTCAAGCCGCTGCCCGGCGCCTGCAGGAGCAGGAGGAGCGAGCCGTGGATGTCCTGCAGCGACTGACTCTCCACCGACTCCGTTTGCCGCTCGTCCGACGACTGCAGCCGCCGAATCTCGAGCTGCAGCCGCTGCACCTCCCGCTCGTGCAACACGCGCATCGCCGCGCCGTCGCCGCCGCCGCCGCCGCCGCCGCCACCACCTAGCGCCTTGCGAAGCTCCGCCTGCGCGGCCCGCATCTGCTTGGCGTGCGACAGCTTCAGCGCGGCCAGCTCCTGCGCGAGCTCGCCTGCAGCGCGGCGCGGGAGGCGCTAGCGGGCGGCAATGAGCGGGCGGCGGGTAGGAGGGCGGAATGCGGACAGGCGGCTTGGGCAGCTCAGCCGGTGGCGGCGAGGGTGGTGGATGGGCGGGTGGCGCGGCGTCGGCGAGCGGGAGGGCGGACGGGCGGAGGAGAGAGGAGAGAGGAGTGGGTCCGTGGGGGGACGTGGGGGGCAGAGGGAGGTGCACCGGCGAGAGAAGCGAGCTCCTCCTCTGCAGCCTCGCCATGCTCCCCTCCGCTCGACCCCGCCCCTCCGCCCGCCTCGCCCGTCGTCAGCGCGCCCGCCTCCGCGCTGCTGCGCGCCGCCGCCTCCGCCCGCAATGCCGCCACCGTCTCCTCCTCCTCCCTCAGCCGCTGCGCCATCGCCACCACCTGCGCCTGCGCCGCCTCCCCCCTCTCGCGCAAAGCCGCGACGGACTCGTCCAGCTCCGGACAGCGCTCGCACGGAGCCAGCCGCTCCTCTGCCGCCGCCTGCAGCTCGGGGCAGCGATCACACGCCACGTCTGTCGGCGGCGCCGCCTCCCCGATGCACGCCTCCGCCCTCGCCAGCAACGCCGCCAGCCGCTCCTTCTCGCTGGCCAGCGCCTCCTTGTCTCGGCAGAGCGTCGCCACCTCTTCCTCCAGCGCCGACTCGCGGGCGTGATGCGCCTCCTCCGCCGCCCTCCGCGCCTCCTCCGCCGCCCTTCGCGCCTCCTCCGCCGCCCTCTGCGCCTCCTCTGCATCGCTCTGCGCCGCAACAGCATCTTCCCGCCGCCCCTCCGCTGCCCTCGCCGCCGCCGCGCTCTCCTCCGCCCGCCTCACCGCCACCGCGCGCTCCTCCGCCGCCCTCGCAGCCGCCGCGCTCTCCGCCGCCGCCCTCGCCGCCGCTGCGCTCTCCGCCGCCGCCGCAGTCTCCTCCGCCCGCCTCGCCTTGTCCACTTCTGCGCGCAACGCCTCAGTGGCGCACGGGAGAGGGCCGGCCGGGTCCGGCAGCCGCTGGGTGCGGAGCTGCTCGGCCTCGGCGCGGCGAATGGCTGCGTCTGCGCGTGCGGCCGCCTCGAGGTCGGCCAGCCTAGAGTATGAGTGCAGCGGGTCCGAGGCAGGCTCCGCAGGCAGCGACTGGGCAGGGCGAGTGCAGTGGCGTCCACTGCTTGCGGACCCGCGGGGTCGGGACGAGGGCTGCTCAGAGGCGAATGCGCGAGTACGATGCGAATACGATGGAGGAGCAGTCGGACGCGCGCAGCATCCGTGCCGGCTGGAGTGGTAACTGCACACGCGGTACTCACACGCGGACCCGCACTCCGCATCTACCTAGGTCTCGGGTGCGGCCAGCCTGCCCTCGAGCAGCTCCACACGCGCCTCGGACGCGTCGGCGCGCCGCGCTTCGCGGTCGCGCGCAGCGAGCAGGTCCGCCTTCTCGCCCGCCAGCTGCTGCTTCTCGGCCTGCAGCTGCCGAAGCTGCGCCACCGCCCGCGCCTTCGCGACCCCCCACTCGTCTGCCTGCTGCGCCAGCTTCTGCTCCTGCTGCGCCAGCTGCTGCTCCTGCTGCGCCACCACCGCCGCGGAGGAGGCCGAGGTGGCGGAGGCCGAGGTAGAGGCAGCTGCCGCGGCGGCCTCGAGGGCAGACAGCTTGCCCTCGAGGGACGCCTTGTCCGCGGCGAGCCGCTCCGCCTCTGCCGCAAGCCTCGCCCTCTCCGCCGTCTCCGCCGCGAGCCGCGCCTAGCAGCGCAGTGACAGGTCACACAAAGCTATTCGCTGGCGCACGCGCGTTGGGCCTCCGCTGCGCGTGCCTCCATCTCCTGCTGCTGCCACTGCCGCTGCTGCTGCTGCTGCGCCACCGACTCCCGCCCCAACGCCTGCTGCTCCAACTGCGACATCTGCTGCTCCAGCCGCTGCTTTGCTTGCTCCAGCTGCCACTTCTCCTCCTTGAGCCTCTGCGCTTCGGCGGCGCTGCTCTGCTCAGCTGCGGCGCTGCTCTGCGCGGCTGACGACAGCGAGTCGAGCTGCTGTTGCAGCAGCCGGGCAGCGGCCGCCTCAGCGTCTCGCGACTCTCGCAAGGACGCCCACTCGTCGTCTCGATGTGAGGCGGACTGGCCACCCCCAGCCTCGAGCAGCTTGCGGTGCGCCTCGGACGCTCGGAGTGACGCCCGCAGCCGCTCGATCGTCTGAGCCGCCTCGGTCGCCAGCCGCCGCTTCTCACCTTCCAGAGCGAGGATGCGCCGATTCTTCTCCTTTATCGTAAACTCGATGTTGAGCGAGCCATCTCCGAGTGTTGTCTGGAGCTGTTCTCGAATGCGGTCCTTGGCGTCCTTGATACGGCGCATATGCGGGGCGGCGCGGGCAGAGGTGGCGGCGTTGCAATTCTTTTCACCTGTGTCGAGCCTGTCTGCTGTGAGACAGAGTTGTTTATTTATATTCTTTTCTGAAGTTTTTTAATAAAAGAAAATCTACCCCAAGCCTCTCGTCCAACCTGTAACCTGTAGCACTGCAGCCGCCCGCTACTCGAGCAAGCGCAGATTGAGCATGGCCTGCTCTCCGTCGAGCCCCGCCATTTCAAGCGTCGTCTCGCCCCCCTCGCCGGCGCGCGACACGTAGCGCGGGTGCGTGCTCACCAGCTCGAAGCGGTCGCCCAGCGCGCCGTGCAGCGTTTCGGGCAGCGCCGACTCTACCCAAGTCCTCACCTGCTGCAGCGTGGCGCCGCTCCCGAAGCGACGCGAGATCCGCGTGGTGGGCAGCCGCACCAACACGCGAACGGTGCCGCGGGCGGCCGCTTGCGGCTCCGCCGGAAGCCACGCAGCGAGCTCTGCCTGATGCGCCCCCGCCGCCGCCGCCGCGCGTGCCGCCTCTGCCTCCGCTGCCGCCGCCTGCGCCGCCGCCTGCGCCGCCGCCGCCTGCGCCGCCGCCTGCGCTGCCCGCGCTGTCTCTTCAGCTCTCCTCTCTTGAGCGATGCGCTCCTCCTCGCCCTCGAGGCTCTCGCCCATGTCCACCTCCAGCGCCTCCACGTCAACGATGCAAACGGCCTCGACCGGCGTCGGCGGGATGCCCGTGCAAACCTCGCTCACCAACAGCTCGAACTCTTCGCCGCAATTCGCGATTCGAATCGTCTCGCCGCAGCACAGCACTGTGTACACACCGTGCAGCCCCGCCTGCAGCAAGCTCTGCTGGTCTTCAGCCTCCTCGTAGAAGCGCGTGCGCGCCGGCCGCAGCCGCACCAACGAGGCACGGGGCACGTCGACGCTGGACAACATGAGCGGCACGCCCTCCTGGGCGCCAACCGCCTGTAGCAGCCAACGGGGCAGCGCAACGTGCCCTTCAGCAGCGGTGAACTCCAGCAGCCCTGCAAGCCGGCCGCCCCCTCCTTGTCCTCGCCCCGCTGCTCTCCGAGGTTGACCATGGCCAAGTGTGCCGCGTCCGTCGCCGCACTCCACCCTCAGGCACAGCGGGTTTGGCAGCTGCGGCGTGCCATGCCTCGCCTCGGTCAACACGCCAATCGCCTCGAGGGCAGAGGGCGGCAGGAGCACCTTGTCGCCGCCGCCGTGCGGCGCCTCGAGCGCGATGAACGTGGCGCCCCACACGCCCTGCATTGGGCCTGGCGCGGCGGACGACTGTCGGACTGGCGGCGGGGAGAGGCCCGCCGAGCTGCTGGCGGAGGCGGCGGCGAATTCGTCGGCGAGGGCCTGCCAGATGGCTGGCGCGTTGTTCAACGTGGCCAGCACAAGTCGCAGCGTCGGTGCGTCGTGCGTGCACACAAACGCAATCGGGCTCGAGACCGGCTCGGGGGCAAAGCCGACGGCGCGCAGCAGCATCCCGCCGCCGGAAGCGGCCAGCAGGCGGCCGCAGAGCGCCTTGTTGGCCGCGCCGATGCGGCGAAATCGCGCTTCGTCGCTCGCCAAACAGTTGCTCACGTAGGTGCAGCATAGCGGAATGGCGTCCTGGGCTCGGCGCGGCGCGTTTGCGTTGCCAACCGCCACCACCTCCTCACGAACAGCGACGCAGATGTCGTGAGCGGCTCGGATGGCGGCGGCGCGGCAGGCCACCTCGCGCGGCTCCGCCGGCGCCGTCCAGATGAAGCTGCCTGCTCCGAGATCGGCGTCGAAGCCCAGCGCGATCACGGCAGCCTCGCCGCCGTCGCGGGAGAGAAGACGCTCCTGCAGCACCCGTGACTTGCAGGGCAGACACCCGTACTTGGCTGGATCTTGCGCCACGTTGGAGAGCAGCTTTGCGCAGGTGAGCAGCGCCTCGAGAGCCGCGGGTGTTGGGTTGCGCTCCACGAGCTCCAGCACGGCGGCGTGCGCTTCGTCGGGAAGTGTGGCAGTCCAGTTTTGCAGCATGCCGCCAGGGTTCCGGCTCCTACCCGGATAGGGGGTCTGCTATCGCCTATCCCCAGGCCGCGCAGCGAAGCGAAAAAAGATGAAAATAGGGGGTACCTACCTATTGCACGGCCCTTTTGGGCCAAACAAGACCAACCTACCTACCTATCTGGGAGGGGCCAGCCAGTCCCAACAGACCCCCTATCTGGGTAGGAGCCGGAACCCAGGGGCGAGACCGAGGCCCCGAAATCGCCCCGCACAGAGTTTCACAGCCTTGTTATTGACAAGAAAATACATGCTGGCGCATGCGCTGGTCTGTGAGAGGTTGAGGTCCCATCCCTCCCTTGGGTTGTCTGTTTTCTTTCTTTCTTTAGAGGTTGAGGTGCGAGCCCTGGAGGCCCTGGGGATGGGGTGAGATTCACAGACCTTGTTATTGAGAAGAAAATACGTCCTACGGCGCTTTGCGCTGGTCTATGAGAGGTTGAGGTGCGAGCCCTGGAGGCCCTGTGGGGATGGGGGGAGACCTACCCGCGGGCCTAGAAGGCCCGCGCGCAGGGGGGTGGGACATTGAGATTGAAGGCGGAGGTGGAGGCGGCAGGTGCTTGGCGGGTGCGGCTGGGAGCGGCTTTGGAATCAGGACCCCTCAGACTGGGGTCTAAGGTAACGGGTAAGGTAAGGTAAACTTCTCCACACACACGAGGTGGTGGGGCAAGGGGGGGGGCAACCCTCGCGTCTCCACGTCTAACGACAGGAGCCCCACGGCATTCAAAGTGCAAGGCCCGTTGCGCGTGGGTGAGCGGTGTGTGTGTGTGTGTGTGTGTGTGTGTGTGTGTGTGTGTGTGTGTGTGTGTGTGTGTGTGTGTGTGTGTGTGTGTGTGTGTGTGTGTGTGTGTGTGTGTGTGTGTGTGTGTGTGCGTGTGTGCGTGTGTGTGTGTGTGTGTGGGTCTAAATAAATAAATAAATAAAAACGGACACCTCTCTACTGTGAGATGGATCTTTGTGCAGGGTTCTTTGTGGGTGTGACTGGGGTCTACGAAGAGGGGGTGGCTTTGGTTCACACGAGCGGGTCGGCTGGGGCCATTCAGACAGCCAGGTTGCGAGACAATGATCGAGGCCAAGATAAACACTCTGCGGGCTCACCCATTTGAGCCTCATCACATGACCGCTCAAGACGACCACGGGCTCTTCAGCACGAGGCTTGCGTCGTGATGGACGTAGTGGGCGGGGCGCTCTGTCTGGGCGGGCGCGGGGCCCCAGCCGGCTCCGCGATCGGGGAACATGCCGAGGACGCGCTGCAGCATCGCGTCCGTCCTAACCAGCGGCGCCAGGTCGACTGGAGCAACCGAGGCGACGGAGCACGGCGGAAGTTGCAGCGGCGGATCGGCGGCGGGGAAGCGGTCGCCCGACCAGGCGAGGTGGCGGTCGCCGTGGCAGCCAGTGCCTCGAGCGCAGCCGCCGCGCAGCTCGTCGGCAGAGCAGAGCCGCGCGCCCGCCCCCCTGCAGATGGAAGCCGCCTCCTCGAACGTCTTGTCGAGGTGGCAGCCGCCCAGCAGCGGCCCGTCTGACTCGGCCCACACCGAGCAACCGGCGCGCACAGGCCAGCCTGGCAGGGGCGAGTCCGAGCAGCACCGCACGCGGTGGCGCTCGCCTGGAGACGCCCATCGACTGGGCTCCTTGCAGCCAGCGCCCCTGCCGCACTGCACAAACCGCTGAAGGGCGACGCTGTACGCGGGGCGACCGCCCGGTTCCAGCCACACGCGGCAAAAGACAGAGCTGGCGTTCCCATTGGCGCTGCCCTCCGGTTGGCAAGAGCTGGGCGTGATCTCGGCCGCCGCGATGCGCCCGAGGTCGGAGGAGATGGTATACGCATTGACGGAAATCTTGGGGCAGCCAGTACCGCAGGAGAGGCGAGGCTGGCGGGGCTGGCAGCGCTCGGCAGAGCCGTTTCGCTGCGTGAACAGGTCGTGGACGGCGAGGAAGGCGCCAACCTCTTTAGACTTGACGTGTACCGCCACGGCCGAGCGTGGAATCATCAGGTCCGGCGCTCGACGTCGGCCGCGACCAAGGTCGACGATGCCCTCAAAGGAGCTCAGGTCGACAAAGGCAATCGGTAAGCTGTGCAGGTGGCGGTGGAGAAATGAGCCGAGCCACACGTCCTCGTTGATGCCAAGCTCCCTTCTCGCTGGCCGAAAGGCGCGCAGGCGTGCCAGCTCGGCTGCATACGCGGGCGAGGCCACCGCCGCGGCGACCAGTGGCGCGGAGAGCACGACCAGGTAGCCAATGGCAAAGGGGAAGGGCCCGGCAACCTCGGCCTGTGCCTTATCGCAGCCCTCCCTCTTGAGGTTCGAGGAGGAGAGGGTGGCGGTCCAGCCGAAGCCGCACGCGTCCCAGAGCGCAGGCCGCCACCCGTGCCAAGCCAGCGCGCCCAAGTAGGAGTGGTCGCCCAAGGGTCGCAATGCACGCAGCATGCTGGCTAGCCGCGGCGCATGGAGGTATAGATCGTCGTCCACTTTGGCCACAAACCGCGCTCTGAGGTGCGTCGCAGCGTGCTCGAGCCACGCTGCAAGCGTCAGCACGGTCCCACGCAGCCGTGTCTCGTCCCAGGCGACGGTGGGGAGCAGAAGCATGTCTTCATGCTCGCGCTGCTCGGCTATAAGAGACTCGCTCACGCGTTGCGGAGCGCCGCCCGAGCGAACAGCAAACAGGCTGAGAGTCGCGGCGTCGCTGTCGGGGAGCGAGAGCCACGAACGCAACACGGTGCGGTGGCGAATGTGCGACGGCGCCGAGACCACGCCGACCGCGACCCAGATGTCGCGCGATCGGGGCTTCATCTCCATCTTTCGCGGGCTGATGATGTTTGAAGCAGTCGAAGGATCGGGGAAAGGTGCTGGCGAAGGAAAGGTTTAAAAGTCCCCGCGTCCGGAGGGCAGCGAGCAGGGGGTTGAAAAGCAGATTCTCTCTGAAATGCGGCGGGCGTTCGGCGGGCTAAATTCACCCTCGCGTCGTCGGTGGGTTTGCGATGGCAAGTGGAGCAGCCGAGGAAGCAGCGCCGACGCGTCGTCGCACTCTCACGCTGCGCCGCGCTGGCGTGGACCCAATCACGCTCGCATGGTACGTGCCAGGAACCAGCACCGCGGATATGCGGGCCACGGCCGAATGGCGGCTCGGGCTGTGGCCTGGTGCAGGGTTCACGCTGGAAGACGAGACTGGCGCCGCGGTGGCCCTCTCTCCCGGCCTACCGTCCGGCCTCTCGCTCGACGTCCTCAGCGGTGACGGGGCGGGAAGCGACGTCAGCGGCGGCGGCGGCGACTGCTGCGACAGTGGACGAGATGATGCGTGCAGAGGGCAGGGACTGAACGAGCCGCTGCTCCCCCGGCAGGCTTCCGCGGCGCTCGGCGAAGGCGGGGCAGCGGTGTCCGGCGGCGACGCCGCACCGCCACGGCCCCTCCTCTCGTGGTCCCAGCGGGACGGCTCAGTGGTCAGGCTCGGAGGTGAGAAGCGCTCCTCGCACTCGCACCAGTGCGCCAGCCTGTACCAGGCGCGGCCCCGCCACGACGAGCCAAAGAATCCGAAGCTCACGCCGGCGGAGAGGCTGGACGCCAACATGGAGTCGGTTCTCAAGCTCACGCGGTTGACCAACCACCTAGCAAACGAGCGCACCTTCCTCGCGTGGATACGCACGACCGTCTCTCTGTTTGGGCTCGCCATCTCGACCATCGCGCTCGCCAACCACGAGGTGCGCGAGTGGCGCTGGATGGCCGTCTCGTCGGGGCTGCTCGTCTCGCTCCTCTCGACGGCCGCCTACGTGCATGGCTGCGAGCGGTACTTCAAGGTGAAGAAGGTGCTCGAGATGCCGAACCCGCCTCCCGCCTTCAACCGGCGCTCGCTCGTCACCTTCTCGGGCGTCGCCGGCATGGTGTGGGTGGCCATCTGCTTCAGCTACGTGGTCTTATGGGCCACGTGGGGCTCCCCTGACGACTGACGGGGAGGAGAGGGGGAGGGCCGCCCCGCTCGCGATGCGGCAAGCCCCCCACCCCTCCTGCAGCGGTGCACATGCTCAGGCCTGAGGAGCGCGACGGTCCATCGGACCACCACCGCGGCAAGTCTCGCGTTGTCCGCCGGCCGCAAAATGCCCCCGCAACATTACTAGGGATGGGAGAAGGACGCCAGAGTCACAAAGGAAAACGGTAACTTGGCCCGCAAGAATTCTTTTGATCGCACACGCAACCCGCACTGTCTCTGCTCTCTGGTCTCTCTGCTCTCTGTGGACGGCTCTGTGGTCACTGCTTTCTTATAGCTAGGGAGGAGTGTGGTGTTAGCCGTCGCCCAGAGCGGCCGCACATTGCTCGGTACCCCCCCTGCACATCTAAAGCCATCCCTGCTGCTAGGGGGGGGGGTCTGACCCCCCCAGCAGCAGAGCGCTGCTGCTGGGGGGGGGGTCCCGACCCCCCCAGCAGCAGAGCGCACGGACCCACTCTCCCGCCTCTTCGCCGCCGCCCCCCCTCCACCCTCGGCTCGTGTTTGAGCGTACGCAGCCCTTGAAGCCGCGGCGTATGATGGGCTGCGAGAGCCGTATCTTCCCCCCTTGAAGCAGAGGCGCCGCGAGGCACGAGAGGCGTAGAAGAGAGGCTGGCGTGCCCCGCACCTCCCGGTTGGCAGTAGGAGGGCCCGCCGGTGAGACCACTGATTTTGGTGTCGACCATAAAGTCTCGCCACTGGAACACATGCTACTTACAGCTGCTGTCGTACAGAGATGCCAGCACCCCCCACAGG